GAATGAGTAAGAAAAAATGCTCTGATCTAACACTAGAAGAAATGAAAAAACAGGCTGCTGTTCAGTGTCTTCGCTCTGCTTCCGATGAAGTAAGAACTAGCGCAATGTCAGACTCTTGAATAAACTGACTCCCAGCAACACTCTCTTGGCAGGGATTTGTTTACTGAAAAATAAAGATGTTTCAAGCTAAGACAATTGGTGTCAGAACTGCCTCCTTTGGCACCAGTTCTGGTATTATACATAGTTCAAACCGCCGCCCGCCACACACCCCCGCCTTAGGACCAGTCCAATCGCACCAATACATCCAGCCCGCCAAAATCTACTGTGCACCGTTAACCCTCCCCCAGCACCTGCAAAGCTTAGTATCTAGCAGTGTCTGGTGTCCAAGGTCAAGCACGCATGCTTCCCGGAGATGGGAGGCCCGGTACAAACGCAGTTACAAGCTAGCGCGAATTCCAGCAAAGTAGCTTCACACACATACTCACATGTTCCCAGACTCCCCCTCCCAACCAGAAGAAAACAGGATAAGAGACATACAGGACCAAAACGAACTAAAGAACCATGGCAAATGAGGCCTGAGTTTGATGTGCAACCGTTGTGATGTATTTAACTTGTTTCTGGAGTAGATAAAAATGACTATGTGGGCAATGTAAAGACACTGTTTGTTTGCAAATTAATATGTTTTAGTTGTTACAGCAGTAAGGATGCACATGTTTTCAAAAATACACTACAGAGTGGGTAATTGATTTAAATTTTGCTAAGAGACTTAATAATCCCTGGCCTGGATAACCCAGGCTAGCCCAGTTGTGTCAGGCCTCAGGACTTAATCAGGGTCAGCCGGTAGCACCTAGTCCAGTAGCACCTTAGAGACCAATAAGGTGTTCATAGTACCTGACAAAGGGAGATTTTGACTCTTGAAAGCTTATATGCTGAAAGTCTTGTTGGTCTCTGAGCTACTACTGGACCAGTGTTCCCTCTAAGCTGAGTTAGTGTGAACCAGCTCACAGCTTTTTAGCCTCCGGCTCACACATTTCTGTCTTAGCTCAGGAAGGGAGGGCTCCCGAGCAAACTAATTTATGCAGTAGCCCAATCGCTCGCTCACAACTTTAATGGCAGTAGCTCACAAAGGAGAAATTTTTGCTCACCAGACTCCACAGCTTAGAGGGAGGATTGTACTGGACTCCAAGCTATTTTGTACCCACCTCTGTACTGAGTCTGATTCATACTCCTTTCCTGTCAAAGCAGCAGGCAAACCTTTGCCAACGTTCTCATCTTTGACCAAACTTCTCCTCACTCTTTTTTTCTTTAGGAGGGTGCCCTCACATTTCCTTTTAGCATGCCAACACTTCATTTTTTGCTACCAGCAGTACGTGGTCAGAAATGGTAATATTTGCGGTCAAGATTTTCCACAATGGAAGATTTTCGCTCTGCATCGCTTGTTCCATGGGCTGGCTGAACATAAGTCTTACCCAACCCTTTTGTTTAAATTTCACTTCTCCTGAGCGGTATGCTCAGAGCTATCATTCCTCTTTTCCTAATGCATACGTGCACCGGAGATTTTCCCTAGGTTTGGGAGAGGGGAGGGCCCTAGAACTGGGGTCTGTTTAAAAACAAACGAACCCTTTTCCAGGAGGGTCTCCCATCTGTTAGGACTGACTCCTGCCCTCTCTTTGGGCCTCTGATTTAACAGGGCTCTTTTTGTAGCAGGAACTCCTTTGCATATTAGGCCACACACCCCTGATGTAGCCAATCCTTCAAGAGCTTACAGTAGCCCCTGTAAGAAGAGTGCTGTAAGCTCTTGGAGGATAGGCTACATTAGGGGTGTGTGGCCTAATATGCAAAGGAGTTCCTGCTACAAAAAGAGCCCTGCATACACATACATACTTGTGTGTGTCTGTGTGTCATATCCACTTTACTAATAAGGCTAGTGGTGTGTGGAAAAACTGAATGGTGACTGTTCAGTGTTCTATAGAATCCAGTGAAATTTATACAAGTAGAAAACAAATCTTACATTTGTAGATCTGGGATGCTTAGGGTTTGTGGTCTGTGTGGAATACCTTCTATATCTACTTCCCCTTTCTCCTCTCTTCGCACTATTCTCATATTTTTGGTTGAGCTGCTTATGCCCTCCTCTGTTGAATCTCCCCACACCAATAGCGCACAGCCCTGTCTGTCTCTGTACAATCTTGTGTGCTGATTGTTGAGTTCAGCCCCTAAGCACTTCCACAAAAGAGCTAATTACAAGGTAAGCCCGATTTCAAGTAGAAATGCCGCAACACTGGTATTTCTTGCACTCAGAAGCAAGTATTACAAGATGCCAAAACTCTTATCTTCAGATAAGGGAGTTAGCATCACAGCCCCTAATTCTTGCCTGGATTGGATTATGTATCTGAGTCAGAGAAGAATTCCTCCCCCCCCTCCCCCCAGCACCACTTGCTATACTGCCGCTGTGGCTTGTTAGGTAGGTTTGCCATTTGTTTGCTCATGGTGACTAAACTCCCGTGCTCAAGAAACTGAGGAGCAGAATTAAAAATGGCCTCCATGGTGATGCTTCAGGTATTTCCCCGTCTCAATGGTCTTGTCCATAGAGATTAGGGAAGTTCCTGGAGCATCTCCCAGGAGTGGTCACATCCTGGCCACCAGCGGGGCCAGAACTCCAGAAGCCCTTTTCCAGCACCAAGAATACAGAACATCACTGCCCCAGACATAAGAACATAAGAGAAGCCAATGTTGGATCAGGCCAATGGCCCATCCAGTCCAACACTCTGTGTCACACAGTGGCCAAAACCCAGGTGCCATCAGGAGGTCCACCAGCAGAGCCAGAACTCCAGAAGCCCTCCCCCAGCACCAAGAATACAGAACATCACTGCCCCAGACATAAGAACATAAGAGAAGCCAATGTTGGATCAGACCAATGGCCCATCCAGTCCAACACTCTGTGTCACACAGTGGCCAAAACCCAGGTGCCATCAGGAGGTCCACCAGCGGGGCCAGAAGCAGGCTGTCAAGAGGATCCACCTCAGTTAGCAAGAGCACCCCCCACCCAGGCATCACCCTCAGAATCTCCAAGCATTCCCAGGAGCTGGTAGGCCAGACATGTGGTGGTTGGGAAGAGAATCTTTCTTTATCTGTGGCCAGGGTCCGCCATACCTGAGGGAACGCCTTTCCCCAGAGACCACTACGGTCACAAAACCGACTGGCCCTCCCGGGTCCCAAGGATGCCAGGCTGGCTGCAGCCAGGGCCAGGGCTTTTTCGGGGGTGGCTCCGTACTGGTGGAATGAGCTCCTGGAAGAGATCAGGGCCCTGCAGGACCTTTTACAGTTCCGCGGGGCCTGTAAGACGGAGCTCTTCCACCAGGCCCCCAACGAAGGATCCGCCACCGTTACCAACAACTGAAATGTATAGAGCCCTGGCTTGCTATTGACAGCCTGTGCCTGGCGGTTATATCGGGAAAGATCAGTGAGCCGAACAGGGCTTTTTTTTGTAGAAGAAGCCCAGCAGGAACTCATTAGCATAATAGGCCACACCCAACAGCAGAAACTCATTAGCATATTAGGCCACACTCATGCCTTCTCTTAGCTTGCCCGGGCACCCACGGCTGCGGAGAGACCAGGCAAGCCGGCCCTTGGACAGGCCAGGGAAGGCACGGGGAGGCATTTAAATACCTCCCCAATCCTTCCAGGGGCCCCCCTGACCTGCCCGCCTTGGAGTCACGGCGGGGGGTGTTGCTCTTCAGACCTCCCCTCTGTAGCCACGCATGCAGAGGTTTTGTCTGTAGTGGGCGTGGCCAACTTTGAAGCCAGACGGAACTCCGTTCCATTCCTGCCCAAAAAATAGCCCTGGAGCTGAACATCTAGGTAATCTAGTGAATGCACTCATATGGTACTGCCATCGCTATGAAATTAAAACAACACTGCTAGCACTCTGTGAGACTGCACTGTTTTATAATGAACTGTTTTTAGATGTTTTTATGGTAATGTAATTGTTATTTACGTATTTCCTTTCACGTAAGCCGCCCTGAGCCTGCCTCGGCGGGGAAGGCGGGGTATGACTTAAATAAATAGATAGTGACATAAATAATGAATTATCCTGCCTTCCCCTTTGGGCACCGTGAACTGGCTTAGCCCCCTGGATGCTGTGAAAACACGGAGGGGAAAGCAGTGTGGGAAGTCACTCCGCTTTTCCACTCCTCAGTCCACGGGATGAGCAGTAGTAACAGCAGCTTTCAGTGAATGTGGTGGGTGTGGCTCATGGGGAGGCATCGGCTCTTTCGAAATGGTTGGAGAGCTTGGGGAGGGGAGTGGGGAAAGACATCTCCACTGTTAATTAGAATTGGGGGGGGGGCCCTGGGTCGCCTAACTATAATTTTGGTGTATGGGAGGTTTGAGCAGTCTCAGTCAATTCCTATGGAGGTTTCAAAGATTGCAATGTACCTTCACATAGTTTGGAGAGCCAGTTTGGTGTAGTGTAGTGTAGGACTCTAATCTGGGAGAACGGGGTTTGATTCCCCACTCCTCCACTTGCAGCTGCTGGATGACCTTGGGCAAGCCGCAGTTCTCTCAGGGCTGTTCTCTCAAGAGCAGTTCTCAGTCAGAGCTCTCTCAGCCCCACCTACCTTACAGGGTGTCTGTTGTGGGGAGGGGAAGGGAAATGAGCTTGTAAGCCGTTCTAAGACTCCAAGTGAAGGGCGGGGTACAAATCCAATCTCCTCCTCCTCCTCCTGCTGTCTGATTTTGAGGAGGAGATGAGCAAAACTGCTGTTTTTCTGCAAATATTTGTGTTCTGTGCGGTCACACGACAAAGTTGCCATGGGAGAGGCACGGATGGTGGGCGGATTATCCGGACGCGATCACACCCCAACATCTGGGAAGTGGAGTGCACCTGTGGCTTACCGCCGACAATGCGCGTTAAAAAACTAGTACCTCCACGGTACTCATAAATGGTTGTGGGGTGGGATCGGCCCGGCGTGCAACATTCCCCTCCGGCCCCTCGTTTACCCGCCGGCGCTGAGGGAAGGACCCGTGGTGTGCTGCCAGCGTGTCTGATTGCATAATCGCGGATCAAACTGCACTGGGGCAATTAGCCACACCTCCCCCCGCAATATGTGACCGGGGCCTGCGTTTGATATCTGGTGTAGCTTTCTGTATCACAGTAAGTGCCCTAAAGGGATTGTCCACAACTGTTTTTCACTTTGCAAATGGACATAATTATGAATGGAACGCAACCTGGTGTAGCATAATGACTAAGGTGGTCAGCATGAGCCGTGGGAAGCCTGTGCTACAAGTATCAACTTGACCAATAGGAAGCTACCATTCACTTTGCATCCATCTTCTGTCCCCCCCCTTTTTTTTTGTAAGGTGAGGATAATATTGATATACCAGGCAGTACTTGTACAGATTGAATAATGTATGTGGATCTCTTTGAACACTTGAAGAAGACTGACGTAATTTAATGTGCTATTGAATAATATGTCCATTATTCATTATTCTGCAGAGCTCTGGGATTGAGACTTTAGTGGAAGAGCTCTGCTGTAGACTGAAGGATCTCCAGAGCAAACAAGGTGAGAAGAGCGCCTCTTGGACAACACGGCTGCAGAGATTAGATGTCTGTAGACCTCTGGTTAGGGCCTTGCAAAGCGTCATTCTGCCGTAACTTAAAACACACAGGGTGCGTTCAGACGGGGCATTTGCAACGGTATAGGTGCTGGTTGGAATCGGTGTACTTACCGGCGCTCACACGGCGAACATCTGCCTTCTGTCCCTAACCGTTGCAAAGAGCTTTAAACCGTTGTATTCTCCCACTAGGTCCCCAAGTGGTGGTATCCTGAGTTCAACAGTTGTAATTGCTTTACCCCCCGTCTGATCGCTCTCCACCGTTGTTGAGCCACTTCTGTTCAGAAGCCCAAGGCTTCCGATTTTCGCCCGCCATTTTTTTTAAGGTTGGCGATATGCGCTTGGGCGAAGCTTCGCCCTGGCGTTTGTTTTTTAAAAAAGAAAAGGTCCTTAGTTTAAGGTTTTGGAGGACTCCGAGACCTCAGGGAGGCCAGTTTGGTCTTTAAACTTTAAATGTAAGACGGGGTGTTTTGCGCATGCGTGACGATCGCCATTCTGTGGATGGCTGCCTATGCGCATGCGCAAACTGTGTTTAAAAAAAAAAACCCACCGATGCCCGCTGTGTGTGGACGGGCATACAGTGATGGCCTCCGCAGACAGGAGGTAAGTGTGATCGCGTTTCAGCCGGCATAAACTGCACCGGTTCCAACCGGTACAGTTTATGCCGGCTGAAACGCCCCGTCTGAATGCACCCATTTTCACATATAGCAGACAAGGTAATAAAAAGCCTCTGTCTGCCCTGCACTGCTTCAACTACGGGTGGGGGTTTACGTGACAACTAAACAAATACACATGCTGATGACGCCCAGTGGTCTCTCTCTCAGCTAAGCCTTTAGAAGCAACCTGTTGTGTGAAGCAGTGCTTCCTTTTGTCTTGTCTTCAATCTAGTGCCACTCAGTTTCATAGCTGGTTCTGCTACTGTGGGAGAAAAGTTTCTCTCTTTTTTAAAAAATAAATTTTTATTTGATTTCCCTACTATATAGGACATTTAGGAAGGGGGAGGACAAGGGGGATGAGATGAGACATATAGGAAGAAGTCTCCATCAGGCTTATATAATAGCTGTTAAAAAGGTAAAGGTTCCCTTGCTCGAAAGCCAGTCGAGTCCGACTCTAGGGTTGCAGTGCTCATCTCCATTTCAAAGCCGAAGAGCCAGCGCTGTCCGAAGACGTTTCCGTGGTCATGTGGCCGGCATGACTAAACACCAAGGCACACGGAACGCTGTTCCCTTCCCACCGAAGTGGTACCTATTTATCTACTTGCAATTTCTTGCTTTCGAACTGCTAGGTTGGCAGGAATAATAGCTGTTACAAAACAGTTTTCATCTTAAATCTTTGTTTCCAGTCTTTCCCCCATTCCTATAATTTCTAATGTCGCTTAATCGGATCCTTAAAGTCTTCCTTTATGATTCCTGAAAAAGTACATGTTCTTTACAGTTCAAGTTAAGTTTCTCCCAAGTTTATAATAGTTGCAATCCATTATTCATGATTTCCCCTAATTATTTCAGTGTTGTTGAAATCTGTTAACTGTCCGCTCATCTCCAAACGGAAGGAATACTACGCTACTAAAAGATGGTGGTATCAAGGCTTCGTTTGTAAATCCAGTATATTTTAATGGTTGCATGAACCTATGAATCCCTTTAGGAGTCACTTAATTGTGGGATTGTATTATTGTAGACAGGCTTCTGTAGTATGATGAATGCTTATGTGTATAGTAAGAAAATGTATAAAATACAAGGGGAAGTGAACGTCTGAGACCACATTTTCAGATGATTTGTCTTATTCTACAACAGAAGAGAAGATTCAGAAGAAACTTGAGGGCTCTTTGCCTCCTGAAGTTGATTTGTCTCCTGCGGCCAAGGATCAAGTGGAAATGTATGTCTCTTCCTTTTTTACAATAAAAGTATCCCGTTTGCTTTCTGTTTACATATATATACCTGTGCACACATTGATGTACAATCAAATGCTACTCTGAATAGGTGTAAATAGGCACTTCATGGTCACTATCTTGAAATACATATACAGATCTGATCTCTGTCAAAAAAAACCTTCATCAAAAGTATATAGCAGAATTACGCAGTGGAAGGAAACACCAACAACTATAAACTGTGTAACAAAAATAAACAAACAGCCAGTGAACAAATAATATCTGTTAATGTACAAAATTTGACATAATCATAGAAATTACATCCCAGTATATAAACACAAGGAACCACTCCATAAACCATGCTGCAAATCCTTATAAACGTTTTAACATAGATGCGTTCAAAGAACAATGTGAACAGTCACAGGATTTTTCCTCAAGCCGAAGGTAGAGAGGACTGAAGACGACTTGCAACCTGTGATTCCAACTTGTCGCGTTCGCCAGCTTCCTGATTTCTGTGTTCCACAAATGCTTTATCATAAGAACATAAGAGACGCCAATGTTGGATCAGGCCAAAGGCCCATCCAGTCCAACACTCTGTATCACACAGTGGCCAGAAATACCAGGTGCCATCAGGAGATCCACCAGTGGGGCCAGGACATTAGAAGCCCTCCCACTGTTGACCCCCCCAGGCACCAAGATGACAGAACATCACTTGCCCCAGAGTCCCTATCTATACCTTGTGGCTAATAGCCACTGATGGACCTCTGCTCCATCAAGTTGAAAGTCAAGACTCTCTCCTGTAACAATAATTCAAAAGGAATCCACAACAATAAGACCAGTAAAATCGGGCACAACATACTTAAAAAAAATTAACAAACACTGCAGCATAATGTACTCGCTTGAAGTAAGGCTAGGGGTGAGGTGGCCAATTACAGGCCGGTCTCCAGTTTCCCTTTTCGACAAATGTTGATAGAGTGTGTGGTGGCAGAGGAGCTCCAGGATTTCTGCCCTTGACCCATTTTGGTCTGTTTCAGGCCTGGGTTTGGTACCAGGACAGCTTTAGTTGCACTGGTGGACGGTCTTTGTTTAAAGTTGGACAGGGAACAATCTTCTCTGTTGATACTGTTGGACCTCTCAGCAGTCTTTGATACAGTTGACCGCTCCATTCTTATCCATTGGCTGGTATTAAGGGCATAGCCCTTCAGTGGTTTCACTGTTTTATGTCTGACTGGGCGTAGTCTCCACTGGAGGTGCAGAATCAACTGGGTGGAATTTATCTTGGGGGGTGCCACACTGTTCTGTGGTGGTGTAGTTAAGAACAGTGGCCTCTAATCTGGAGAACCAGGTTTGATTCCCCACTCCTCTACATGAAGCCTGCTGTGTGACCTTGGGCCAGTCATGGTTGTCTCAGAGCTCTCTCAGCCCCACCTACCTCACAGGGTGCCTGTTGTGGGGAGAGGAAGGGAAGGAGGTTGTAAGCCGCTCTGAGACCCCTTAGGGTAGAGAAAAGTGGGGTATAAGCAGGGATCATTTCCTGCAGGAGTGCACAGGAGCGTAACGTATTTGCATATGCCACACCCCCTGACATCAGCGGAAGTGTGTCAGAAGGCAACACCCACCGCTCAGGCTCCACTGGACTGTTTTGGATTGCTAGCAATGGGGGGGGGGCTGCAGATCCGTCCTCACAGAGGAGGGAGAGCTTGTACCTGAATAAAACTTGGTCTTAAAGGTGCCACTGGACTGTTTGGGGCCGGGGGGAGCTCTGCAGCTTACCTGGCTGCTTCTTGCTCTGCCTGAGGGCTGCTGGGAGCAGGGGCTGGGGCTTGTTGCATGTGCCCACTCCCTGGGC